ATAGGGCGCACCGCACATTTTGAGGGGAAAAAAAGACGTTTAAGTGCGCCTTATAGTCGTGAAAATACGGTAAATCTAATGTAGAAGGCATCCGTTTAATGAAAAAGCATTACTGTACAATTTTGGGAAATAAACTCTCCCCTTGATTTGAATAAAGGAGGATCACCTTTCTCTCGCTCCCTGAACTGCAGATCAACTTTGTAGCATGTTTAATAACCCCAAAGAGAGGTTTGACACTGGTTTATTTCCAGAAATGGCATATGACTTACTAGGAACCACATTAAGCACAGCCAGTGATATAAAACTAGCTACTTACCACCAGAGTTACCTTCCATGCTGGTCGTAACTTAAGCTTCTCTCCGGAAGCATCAAAAACACAGCATTTGTTCAAATGTATGCCATGTTGTGTGTGCAGGTTTTTCTGCATGTTGGATGCATTTCCTCCCGCGGATGTAATTGCCACTTTGCAATGATTGCAAAGTGCCTTGTTGCCATCTTTCTCCTCCTTAAAATGAAGCCAATCTTTCAATCACTTTCACCTCCTTTGTTTTGCTTTTCTAGACTTACGCCTGGTTACGCCGTGCTGAATGTCGTGTGGGTAACTTGCGTAAAAAAACGTCACGCAAGTCATGCTGCGCAGAGATAGGCTCTGGTGCTGCCTTTTATCGTTAAGAGAATCGTTAAGCGAGGTGCCAAACGGTGCCATGGAATTGGAACACACGGAACCAGTTCTGAACCGGAACCGGTTTTCAATTCCTATCCCTAGTCTCAGCGTTATCGCCCACCTCACTCTTCTAGCTGGTCCATCTTCATTAGTCGTTTTCCACAATGGTGATCATACAAACAAAACAAGCCGGTAAGGTATCAAACAGGAAATGCACGTAGTGTGGACCACTTATTGGAGCTGAGGAACCGTGCTAGTGTGACGTGTAAACGGCCGTGAGAACCAAGATCGGCACGGTTATATGATCCAAGCTCGGTCCGAACTTGGCACGTTTCAGGGCTGTAAAAATGGAACAGAACCCTAAATGGTGTAATACAAAACTCTTGCTTTTTAGGGAGAGAGTATGAACTAAGCAACTCTTTAAAGTTTGTGATGTACAAAACACAACAACACATGAAAATGGGGATCTGTTCAGATACATTTAAGGACCCCGGCCCAAATGTTAAATACTGCATGCAGCAGAAGACTAACCCAACGCACAGCGCCCTGTAACAAACCTGGAGTTGCGTCATCAAGCTCTATGGAATGTTTTTGACAACAAAGACAGGAAAGCTGTTGAGAGTGGATGGGAGGATGGCTGGACCTGAGCTCTGATCAGAGGTTAAGAGTCCAATACAACTCTGACCATGAGCAAACTGAGAAAAAAACTGAAATACATCCAATAGAAAATATTTGGCAAAGCCTAAAGATATTCACAGATGTTTCCTCACACTCTGAGTTTAAACCATTTGTCACAGAGTTCGATTTATAGTTCAAACCTATTGGGGAGATTCCCCAAAAGACTAAATTCCAGTAAAATGGGGCTCCTCACTGAGATGGATCATTTTCATACTATCTCTCGATTATGTGTGACTTTAAGAGGCTGTTTCACATAAAGTCCAAATGAAATACAATGAAGTCTGCTGTTATAGTGTGACAAAACGTGTAAACGTTCAAGAGTTTTAAATAATATTGTGGTAATCAAGTATGTAGTTACCAGTGTCCAGAGGATGTAGATGGTGAAGAGGGCGATGGTCAGAGCGATAAGCCCAACAGCTTCAAGTCGGCTTTTCAGCTGCAGATGGTCCTGGGCCCCTCTGAGACACAACCACCCTGAGATAGCCGCCAGGGGTGTGATGAGAAGGAAGCAGGCCATGTCACACAGCAGGGTGCGCTTCTCACTGCGAGGCCCGGGGTCCTTCAGCCACTGAACAGGAAGATGAAGAGCTTATTGTAACTCAAGGTCAGCTGCTATTTGAGTAAACTCATACATCTGTTCCTAATAAATAATATGCACAAATTTCTGTGTGAAGACAACTAATTACTACAGTTCCAGATAAGACCACTTTCTTAAAAACTACAACAAAAAAGAGATCTGAAACTCCCATCAGTACAGAATGGTCCCTCTAACCTGTGTCAGTGGCTGTGGCCTCCGTTCGATGGTGAACTCTGTGTGACAAAGTTCACAGTAGCTGGTGTTAGAGGAGGACAGCCACTTTTCTAGGCAGCTCTTGTGCACTTTTCCCAGAGTACCAGTGCAGTCGCAGGGTGAGAGCAGCGTCTCCCCTCCAGCTCCCTCATGACAAATTCGACACATCCCCACATCGCTGATTCCACATCCGGGACATTGCAGGAGGATAAAAAAAAAAAAAATTATGTGAGCAACATTTTTGTGCTTTATTAGAGCCACATGTGAGCTTTACACTTACCTCTGCAAGCTCACAGCTTTGACAACAGTGGAAAGTGGGCGGCCATCTTTAGCCGTAACCTTGGCAACGTACTGGGCCTGTGTAGTAGAATCAGACTCCTCTGAATCCTTAGAGGCATTAGTCTCAGTGTTCCCAGAATAATCGCAAAGGGAGCCGGGGAGCTGGCAGCACCCTGACGAAGACATGGCTCATCTGGGGTGGAAGGAGTTGAAAATACTGGCAGAGGCGACGGTGGCTGATCCCAAAGTAGATGTGCAAGATGTGACGCCTCAATCTTCTCTGATCCACCTACAAGCAGAATCCCCAGGAGGACATTAACAACACAAAAGGCATGCATCACATTTAAAATATAAAAATTCAAATCAGGACCATTTGATCAAATGCTCCTGCTGCTCAGCTGCCATCATGTCATTAATCTTACGCTTTGAATTAAGCACTGAAAGCATTCGCCTTTTCCAAGATGGAGTCACTTCAATATTCATCTTAAATAGGACTTGGGAGATAATTCTTGAATTGGAGTTCGTCTCTTACAGATATTTTAAGGCTGATATCAATTAACTTGACATCGGTGTAACTGATACCAGATTTGTGCTGCAAACATAAACACCACATGTTATCAAAGCATGGCTTTTGAATGAACAGATACAATAAAAAACAATTTGAATGTTGGAGCTGACCTAAGATAGCAAATGGGCTCAGACAACAGGTTCCTGCTGGACAGGTAAGTAAAATATTGTCTTAAATGCTGGCAGCCAAATGCAGCACTTAAAGTTCAGGAGGAATTAAGCTTGTAGCAATCACATTCAACAGAAAATACCAACATTTAGGTAGTATTGAACTATGATTACCTCTGTCAACAACATCAATTTATCATGTGCAAACAGCTACCTAACTACTATGGAGAGCCATTTCATTCTAAATTAAATAAATACTGCCATGACATTCACAAAATCTTCATGAAATAAATAAAATAAAAATGTCAAAATAATTGTTATCTTACTTTATTCTATTAAATTTTGAGATTGTTTTATTTATTCAGAGATGTATTAATTACATAATTTCTTTGATTACTCACTTCATAATGGATTATTATTTTGTGACACTTATTTTGTAAAGCTAATTTACATATTCAGCGACTTTAATTTTGATAACTCCGTTTTTCATGTAAGCCACTTTTATTTCATGTTCTTATATTCAAATAATGAGGCGGGGCTTTGCAGAAACTGAAGTACTGCAAGCACGATGACCAATTAGATTAAAGTATTCCTTCTTGCTGAACTCTGCTTGTTCCCGTTACTACCCAATCCATACCGGAAGCACGATCCGTACCATCAGCTCATTTGCACATGTGCAAACAGATATTCATCCAGACCGTCATAAATAATGTAATTATGGTACTAAAAATACTTATTTCTATCCTTAAATCGCAAAGAATACTTAGATGCATATTTTAAAAAAAATACATTTTTTGAGCCAATTGGATACTTTTTACATTCACTGCTTGTCTGAGATCATCGGTCCGGCAAAATATGATTACACCGTTTGTATCTGCATTTTGGCTGTTTCTTTCTTTAAATTATGCATTGTATACCTTACATTTAAAATGAAAGGAAAAATTAAACTCGGGGAAAAAAAAACTAAACTTATATTAACTTATACTTAAATGAAAAGCAGAAAGAGTTAGCTTCTGAAGTAGCATTGGATCCCATTTCCGGGACAGATCTGGCACAGACGAGTAATATTTTTCTCAATATGTTTGAGATGCTTCTGTTTTCAGACTTTGTAAATCAGTTAAATAAATACAGAAAGATCAGAAGCATTCTTCAAAATGCAGCAAAAAAAAAAAAAAAAAATCTGCATTAATTATTTTCTTCTTCTCCTGTTAAGAGAAGCTACTTTCGAGCTGCTTTGTGTTTCACTCCCGCATCACTGAACTCCACCAGCAGATAAAACTTGCCCCCTCAATTAAATATAACATGAATTAAAAGGAGCCTAAAATGAAGAAAGGAGTTAAAAAATAAAAATAAAGTAGTTTCCCAAAATAATAAAATATTACACCATTATGAACTATAATATGTAATTAATAGATCTTTAAATGAATAAAGAATATTGAAAAATAATAAAAAATAAATATGCTAAACATTATTTTAACATCTATTTTTAATTATTTCATGAGGATATTTATTTATTAAATGTAATATTTATTGACAATTTATCAATAGCAGTATTTAGCTAATTTTGAATGAAACCGCTCTCCATAGACAAGACATTACTGCTTTAACCATCCCAGACTCTCATATAGTATATGCTTTTTTTTCTTCTTTTAAACCTTAAATATGTAAGAGGATCAAATATGTGTGCAGGTGCCATCTAAGTCATTAGTACAAATTGTGTGTTAAGTATAATCAAGTTAAGTAAAGCCCAGCCCTTATTTTAGATTTCTTATTTCAGCTTTTGTGTGAGGAAAAAAATCAGCTCTTGAAAAGAATAATAGTAGGTTTTATTGAAGTAGAACAGTAAATACCTACATTTCGCCTTTAAAAAAGCTTTCTTTTAGGATTTAACAGCTGAAATTTATATGCAAAAGCCTGGCAATCAGTTCCTTTTCTGTTTGATGTTCATTTGACATTTCTGTAAAAAGCAAAAAAACTGCAATGCTCTTTTAAAGGCTCCTTTAGATCAACATATTTTTACAATTCTTAAATAAAGACAGTATGAACTGTAATCTGTCAAATACTATACAACTGTACATGGAATGCCAACTTGCAATACCAAATCAGCACACATTAGACAAATGGCATAAACATGCAATGTGCTCCTTAATCATTTTAATAAAATTTATGATTTATTTTTAAATCCTTGTCAGTGTATTTAAAATCATATCTATCTAAATAGCACAAAAGGGCTAGAGTTAAAATTATAAAAAAAGAAGTAACCAATGATCCGGGAGGTTTAATATGGACCACCTTGAATCACAAACACTGGAAAAAAGCTTCACTGGTGGTGACAGTTTTTGTTTTTCAATCAGATCCTGATAACTTTTATGGGATGGCTTTAGGTGCTCGTGTCACAGTCAAACTGTAAACCTGTAGTTTTCCTAAAATAACCTTCTAGTTCAAATACTCAAGTCGTTAGCAGCTTTAGGACGTCAATGCGAAAACATTTGGTTATGATTAATGCTGAGCTAACCAGGGCAGCAGGATTTATTTCCTTTCGGTTCCATATACTGAAAACAAATCCTCCAGCTTTATCAACACACGGAAAGTGAAGAAAAATAAACAAATGTTTACATTTTGAGGCTTTATTTCATGATTGGCCGATATAAATAACACACCCAGCACTAATTATGCTCAGCTGACAGGAGCTTGGCTGGTAATAACCGATAACACTATGTATACAGGAACGATAATACTACAGGCTGTAATTAGGCAACAGCTACAAAATTATCAGGAATTTGACGTTAAAATGAAAAAATATAAAATGCAAAGGTGGAAAATATGTCTAAATAGTAAGTGTACTTACCCAGTGACGGCCTGCCTTTTCTTCGCTTGGCCTTCAGATAACTGAACAGCCTAGCTACGATTTATGACACTAAAGCTAAGGCAAAGGTTGACGGTACGAGGGGATACAGAGGACCACCATACACATTGTATCCTCCCCATGTCGGGTTGTTTGGGTAACTCAGTTGGAGTCGTTCAGGAAAAGCGGATTAAAATCCATCCGTTTCAGCCAGAATCGCTAGACACAGCTAACGGGGCTAGCTGGCTAGCAACAGGCAAGTCTCGGCATCCCTCAGCTGTGGGCTGGTCATGTGACCCGGTGCTGCGTTCGAGATCATTTGTGTTGTCGGAAATTTTTTAATAATTATTATTACTATTATTTTTAGAAAACAATAATTTACTTAGATTGCATTTTTAAATTAAATTAACCACACAAAAAAGCAACAAAAAAATCTAAGTCTAAATGTATTTAAAATGACAACATATTGTAATTTTTAATAAGCCGCAACATACATTTCACAATTAACCTATGCGCAGTAAACACTTAGGTAGTATTAATTCAGAAAGTTTTTTCATCGCAAAGCCGCTAGGTGGAAGCAATTAGCCAACTACTTAAGTGGAATTTACTGACACCTTGCTGTCAATCATACTCAATAAATTAGCTACATAGTTCACATTTTCTAAATAATATAATACCTTTAAAAAAAAAAGCATATATCAAACACTTTATTATCCAGCTCACATTAAATAAAATTAAATAAATTGGTGCTTTCATTATCTATAAGCAAAAATATAATCATAATTGACAGAAATAAAGTCTGGAAAACATCACCCTTTTTTTTTTACTTAGTGACTGAGTGAGTGAAATAAGTGAACTTTTTAATAATATCTTAATTCATTAAATGTGGCTGTATATTTGTATATCTGATATCTTCATGGGTGTATGTAAAAGTGGATAAAACATCAGTTAACCGCTACTGTATGGTGATTGAGGAATGCAATAATTTATTTCACATGGACTGAATTGGTTAGTTTTAATCAAAATAAATGAAAAAAAAAATTTTTTTCTAATTGTTTTGGGAATTCAGGCTGTATTTGACTGATAACCAGTGTGTTAAACAATTAAGAAAAAAAATGACAAAAAGTAGTAGAAATCCATAAGGAGGCAAATGCTTTTTCACAATGCAGGAACTAAGTACGATTTACACATGTATTTCAAGGGCTGAAATTTTGGATGATTATTTTAAATGCTATTATTTTCTTTCCAAACCATGTAGAAATTCTGCACAAAATAATGCAAATAAATCCTGCATGTATGTACATTCTGATTTTGCTTAAGGCGGGTGATTTTTCAGGTGGTTTTATGCAACAGTATCTATTTTTGGCGTGTCATTGAGCTGCATCTTTCTCAATACAACTTCTATTTCGGTTCATTTGAACTCAAATACAAACAAAGGAATGGACTTTAGTTAGACAGTTTGGATGCCTGACAATACTGGAAAAAAAAAAGGTAATGATGGACACGCTAATGTGCCACATTGCATGCTTCTCATTAGTAGGAGCACACCTATCAATAGAGTCAAAGTCCAACACAAATCATGAGGTCCGGCATCTCCACATGCATGGATATCATGGGACATGTGTTAGTGGACTTTAACTGGGACCACCATGGAAATGCACTGGCAAATCATTAACACAGCACAATCAGGATATTGTACGGATTAACTTTGGATTTTAACTTGTATGAAGAACGTATTTAATAAAAATATATGTAAAGCTTGTGTAATATTTCTTTTTATTCTGTTTGTTCGTTGAATCGATTGTGAATTATTAAATAAAACTTGTGTAACTTTTAAAAAATCAACCAAAATTGTCATTACATAGCTACAATGTTAAAATTCATTGTGGGAATCTAGCTAAGAACATCTAACCCTAACATATTTTAAGTCTGGTATCTTATGTAAGACTTTAGCATAACTGAATTAGGTAAATTAGGTAGTTAGTTTAGAAATATACTGCACTATATACTTTATTTTCTCTTTTTTTAACCAACTTAGAAGTTTCAATTCACGAAAAAATATATAATCTCAGAAAACACAAAACATAATTTTTCATTTCATTTGTTGAATAAAGAAATCTGGTCAAACTTCTGTATTTGTCTGGTTCTGAGTCAGCAAATAGTCTCAATTTACACACTACCACCACCATCTTTTATAGTTTCTATGATTCTTTCTTTCTAAAATTTTGTGCTGATTTTATGGCAAATTGCTAGATACTGCAAGATCAGTCTCCAATCTCAGATTAGCAAATGTTTCTCTAAAAGGTTAATGCCAGGCAGACATATTTGGTCCTTAGTACTCTCTCATTAATACTGTTATCTAAAACTAATTCCAAATACCGTAATAGAACTTTAACATGAACTCTGATTAACTAAGACAGGTGAGGCCTACAGTGAGATTTCTGGGTTCCCACTTCATATCCTTAATCTGATGTTGATTCACTCTTAAAATATTGTCCTTTATTGGAAAGGTTCAGCGTTGTTCAATCTTTTCCATGTTTGTGGAAATAAGTTCTCACTGTGGTTTACTGATGTTCCAAAATCCTAGAAATGGCTTGGTAACTTTTTTCAGGTTGATATCTGCATCTGGAATTTTGTTTCCTTCTTTATTCATGATTTTTTTTTATTTTAATTTTTTTATTCATAGATCAGAACACAATATGTTGCTCTTTGGGATATTTTAGCAAACTTCTTGTTGTCAGAAAGGGTCTATATAAGTAATTTCTAAGTACCTCAGGTATGTTAATCAATCCTTGGTGTGGTTGGTCAAACTAAACCAAGAAATGAGGTCAACTATAGTTATCTTGTTATTTAACAGCGGGAATGAATACTTTGATGTGTGAAAGCAATAAAAAAAATAGCACAAATCCAAAAAGTAAACTGATTTGGAGAGAAATGTAGAGTGAGTAAAAGCCCAGATGGATTGCATAACTTATTCACAGCGTTTGGCTTTCAATAACATTTTAATTCAGGTGCTGGACCTCCATCCCGTGATCTTTTAAGCTCCATTCTCGTGAGGCAGTAATTGAGTTTACCTCATTATCTGATCGGCTCTTGTCATGTGCTGTTGATCTTATTGTAGGAGTGTACAGTATATTTATCTTTATTACTCATTTGGTTTCATTTTTGACTTATTAAATGATGGATATGCATTTGTTGTCATTGCAATGTATGCAGCTTTTTTTTTTATAAAACCCATACTGACCATTTTCAAACTTATATTGATTTGTCATCTTTTTTTTAAAATAAATTATCAATTTTTTTTTTGATAACATAATAATTAGTTCTAAATGAAATTTGATTTGTTAGAATTATTTAGTTTTGTCCATCACAGAGATTATAATGTTTTGGACTTTGACCAAACCATGGCTGTATTGATTTTAAAAGACCAAACTTTTATCTTAAGGCAAAATAGAAATAGATAGATAGATTTTTTTGGGGGGGTTAAAAATATTACCAGAGAAAGAATATAAAAATGTGTATAATTTCTAAAAACAAAGTTTAAAACTTTGTACTTGTTCATGCAGATGATTAATTTATTTGACTGGTTTAGACACGAGTGACTAAATATAAGTCTGACAGATCCTGTTGGAACGCAAAAAGAAAACCAAACTGTCAGCATTTTTTTCTGAGTAGATCAGCAACATTTTTAATTATCTGCAAATGCAAATTCACCACACACACATACATATTTCATTTTGAAAAAATAACTAATTCCATGTTAGTTGAGGTACATTCAGACAATTGTTTTTAGCACCCTTTTAGGAGAAATGTCTAAGCAAATTTTGTTTATATACCTTATCGGCTTTTAATGCCATTCTGCTCATTTCAGCTTACCTGCTTTGAAGGGAACATTCCCCTGTGAGTTCATGGTCATTCATCCTTTTCTTCTGACTGCTGTGTCACGAGATTTCGCTAACGGAGGATATTAAATTATTGCCATTGATGGAACAAATAGCAACAGTGAAGCCAAGCACATGACTTCAACTTCACATAGAGTCATGAGAAAGTTACACAACTCTGATTGAAACCGTTATCTGTACGATATCTGAGTAATGAATTATTTCATCTCTTTTCAAACAGTCCATGCTAACAAAGATGGTGCACAGTGATCACAGCAATAAGTCTTATTTTACATTGTTGAATTTCCCTCCAAAGATTCCAAAATGTCTAAAACGATCCCATAAAAATTTGTGGCGGAAGCTAAAACTGACCACTAACAGAAAAAAGCAGCATTTAGTTTTTTTTTTAGCATATTGCACCAATACATTTCTTTTAAGCGTCATCAGATAAATATTTATGATGAAATCCTTATTCAGTTCTGAAATTTGAATGTTATTTAATCACTGCTGGATGCCTAGTTCCTCAGTCTGCAAGGTTAACCCAAATCATAGTATTTACACCTCCATGCTTCACTGCCGACATGCGGCGTTATCTAAGAAAAGTTGTGTAGTAAACACTGAGGATGTGTAGCCACTATCAACTGTGAAGGTAAATATGTCTATGCAAGTGCAGTTTAACCAGCTTTAATCTGCATTGTTTTTGCTAGAGTACCAAAAAATTGTATCCAAACATAAACTTAATCATATTTTTACTCAACTGAAAATGCCACTTAAGTACTGAGTAACTCATCATAATATCTGATATCTCAAATCATGTCATATCTCAAATCATGTCATAAAGACCATCAAAGTGTAAAATGATGTACAAATTCTGGTACTTTAAGGAATATAATGATATTTTCTTTCTAACATAAAACTTATCAACCAGTTCATCCAGTGACAACGTTTACTCCTTATTATATATTTGGTTGACCTACAAATGTCATGGACAGTTAAAGTAAGCTTGTGTACAAAAAACAAACACTCATTTTGCCATAAACATTAACTGTGTGTCTGGAGCCCTTTAAAAAAAATGCTTGTTTGTTATTTAGTGAAGTTACTCATGGATAAAAAAAATGTACATGAGAGTAGCCATATTTTATTAACATATAACTCAAGTTAAGGTAAAAAAGTAGGGTACAGAAAAACTACTTCTAAAAGTATATTTTTTTTTATCATGAAGTTACTTAAGTACCTAACTAAATAAATTTAAACTAGTTTCTACCCACGTCTTAGATTACTATTTTGATATGTTTCTTCATGACGTTCTATATTTTTCTATGTGTTTGTTTGGGACTACTTTATTTATATACAGTATTTTAAATGCAGACTATAAATGCTGAATCTCACTCTCCAGACGTACTTTGCACCATTTTTTTCAAACCCATTCTCCTTTCCGCTGAGCTGACAGAGACAGAACTTTAGATTAGAGTCTGATATTTTTCTTTTAAAATACCGGTATATAGATAAAAAAGAAATATGCATCTATCTTCTCCTGCCTATTCTTTCAGGTTCACAGTGGGGCCAGTGCCTATGTGCGGCAGTCTATGGGTTATAGGTGGGGTACTCCCCGGACAGGTCAGTTGCAGGGCAACACATATGCACACACTTTAGGACAATTTAGAGATGCAAATTAACCTAACAGTCAAGTCTTTGAATTGAGGGAGGAAACCAGAGTACCGGGATGGAGAGAACCAATGCACGCAAGAGGGTAGAATATGCAAAACTCCATGTGGAAAGACCCTGACCTGGGAATTTAACCTGCAACCTTCTTACTGCAATGCAACAATGGTACATGCAGCCCTAAGACTTTATTAGGTAGCCTATGCTAGTAACGGGTTGGAGCCCCTTACTAGCATAGGCTACC